GAGCACCTGCACAAAAATGACCTTTTTAAGTTTTGCTTTCTTAATGCTCACATCTGGATGACATGCACAATGAATCTGAAAGAAATGTAATTTGCAGCAAAGTATAACACATGTTAGCTGTTCAGCATTTTTATTCTAAAACCCAATGCTATGCTAAATAATGGAGATGACTACACAAATACAAAATAATGTTAAATAACTCAACATTAACATTGTAAATCTCCTCTTAAATTATTGGGCACAAATATCAAAAGTTATTGAGGCAAAATATCTTTTAGTATCTCAGGGGAAGCCCCTGCCTTTGTAAGGCAGTTTGTGATTTCCTTGCAACCCCCAATCCATTCAATTTGGATTTCATCTTAGATCTCTTTAACTCTTGCCACATCAACCCACAGCAGATGATCACTAACAAGGTTTGTTGAATTCATTGTCTCTACCTGAGAGATGCTTTGTTAGCTTTGCAAAGCACTACAATTGAAATATTTCCGTAGCCATTATTAAAACCCTAACATCAGCTGCTACACTAATAACAACGAATCTTCAATTTTGAGCTTTTTCCCAATTTTAGAAAAAATATGAAACCTCTGCTGGGTCTCATATTTGCTAATGACTTATTGGCTTCAAAATGCATTTTCACTTTAGGCTATTTTGCAATAGTACTCATTTTACAGATATCAAACTATATATGTGATATGTGTCTTGGTAGATAGATACCCACATCATTTGACCAGCAAATCTTTTTCCGTCTTTTCATCTAGACTTAGCTCATCATTTTTTCTCCTTTTTTTTTATTTTAATTATATTGGTGATGCAGATGATTTGATCTTGAGTAATTCTATTTTTGGACTACTTAACAGTCAATCCCAAATATTTGAATGTTCTATTGTTCTGAGTACCTACTTTGAACATCCTTTTTAATTCTGAAATCACATCTTTCTTAAAATATTAATTTCCATAGAATATAAAATCATTCACAATGAATTACGAGAATACTGATCCAAGGTGGAAATTGGTTGGAGTAGAGAAACAAATTAGACACTGGTTTGAAGAAATGACCAAAGGTTTATTTTCATTTAGAAGATATGAAAATGTCTCTGGTAAGTAGTATACTGTGACATTCCAATGTGTGGTGTATGAGGTGTGGAGTGAGCATGTACTTAACCAGGTTGACTGCTTGGTAGCTATCAATTTGGGCTTGTCATGTGCGATAGTGTAGTCCATTCTCTTTTTGTGTTCACAGGAGGTCATTTTCAAAGCATAATATTCAGAAAATCAATTAGCCATGCTCCAGGTAGCCTCTATGTTTAGTGTGCATGTGTAAAATCTCTCTTCTCTGTGCTCTGTTCAGCTCCTCTTATAGCCTATACAAGAGAAATGTATTGACATAGTTATAAGCAAGAGTTGTGTTGATAATGGCTAGCACTCTGGTATATATGTGTTTGTTTTAAAATTTGTTTTGAGTGTAGTGTGATATGTGTTTGTGTGTAACTTAAGTAGACAAAAATTGGTGTGCAGTTATGTTTTTTAATAATTGCATAAATTTGGCTTTAATTAGTTATCTCTAAGTGTGTGTAAATTATATCTCTTTCCCCAGCATATTACCCTACAAAAATGCTGATGTGAAATCAATTGTCTCAACTTGCAAACTCATAACAAATGTTGCTAACATCACCAGAGACATAGCTTTTTGGCTGCAGGTTGGAGAATCTGCTTAAAAAAATTAAAATCTTCTTTTACCTTCATGCACACAAAAGAATTGGATCAAAAAGACGTTTTTTGGGGGATGGGGGGTTGTTGACATTGTTATTATTTTAACTACTTTCACTCCATTGGGAATGTTTGTTGTTATAAAAAGCAATGATTTGAATTTTAATAAAATCCAAGCATATGAAAGTGAATTAATGCATTTTTTGTCCTTTGAGAACTTGAAGTTAAAATATTAAATACTATTTATTCATAAAGTTGTTTATTTACAAGAATAATTTTAGATTTACAACATTCTAAATAATGCTTTCCTCTACACTGAGTACTAATATTAGCATTAGTGTAGCCATTGATATACTAACACTGAATCCAAATAAGGAAGGACGAGGATGGCTGTGAACAGGAGGACTGCTAGTAGCTCTGTGGTGTGTGATAGTGCAGGATACGGTATCCTTGTGTAAAAACAGTTTTGTAATATCAAAACTTTTGGAATGGGGATGCGACGTCAGCCGGTCTCTTCTCCGCACCGAGCATGAAAGAGGCGCTCCCTGTGATTAAGGTGCGCATCAATGGAATAACGCGCACCGCTTTAGTAGATTCGGGCTGCTCTCGGTCACTCACGAACGGTTCGATTTGTCGACAGTGGAGCAGACAAAAGATGGACGTACTAACGGCTGATGGAAAGGCTCTCAGAAGCCAGGGAGTTGGAAACATCAAACTCAGTATCAACAAAGGTGATCCTGTCACAGTCAGTGTGTTGGTCGTGAACAGCGCGTTATTAGGTTTCGATCTGCTCCTTGGGATGGACATTATTAAGGAGCTGGGCGGCGTACGCATTACAGAGGCGGGCGAAGTCAAGTTTTCTGATCTGCCCATCTGAGCTACTTTGAAGATCAACGAGCCCGACTTTAGCGCAGAGTTCGACCAAAGGACGAATACATGGACAGCATTTTGGAAATGGTCGGAGAATAACCCGCCAGAAAAGCTCCAGAACCGAGTGTCAGAATATTCGGTGCCCGAACGCGTCAAGGAAGAATACCAGCGCGAATTGCAGGTGTGGCTGGATAACGGATGGCTGATTCCGTATCCCGAGGAAGAGCTTGGTCCTCAAGAGGCCTCATCCGTTGATGGCCGTAGTACAAAAAAATAACAAGGAAAGGTGCGCCCTGTACTAGATTATAGAGAACTGAACGAACATGTAGACACATACACGGCTCATGCTGATGTGTGTGCACAAAAATTGAGAGAATGGCGAACGAAGGGATCCAATGTCTCTGCGATTGACCTTCGAAAGGCCTACTTGCAGGTACGCGTGCACTGGTCACTGTGGCCATTTCAGACGGTGATCCTTAATGGGACGAGATACTGCTTAACCCGAATGGGATTCGGACTTAATGTGGCGCCGGCCATCATGAAAGCCATCGTGGATGCTGTGCTATCCCAGGATGAGACAATTCGTGAAGCGACGTCAGCCTACATTGACGACGTCTACATCAACGAAACCTTAGTACCCGCTTCACAGGTGAGAAAGCATCTTGCTGACTTTGGGCTCGAATGTAAAAACCCAGGAGGATGGTGCTCGGGTGCTCGGCTTGCAGTTCTGGGGGGAGCACAACATGCTTTACTGGAAACGTGGAAGCGAGCTCCCGGACATTCCCAAACACATGACCCGACGCAGCGTGTTTTCGTTATGTGGAAAGCTGGTGGGACATTTTCCCGTGGGCGGGTGGATCCGCATTGCAACTGCATTTATTAAACGTAGGGTGACTGCTGTCACTTCCGGCTGGGATGACACAACAAATGATGCTCCCCTTAGACACATGATAGCGGAAGTCATTACTAGGGTGCGTCAAGACGACCCCGTACGTGGTAAATAGTGCGTTGACGGATGTGAATTTAACGTCTGGGTCGACGCGAGCTCCCTTGCAACAGGAGTGTCCCTTGAAGTAGATGAAACTGTCGTGGAAGATGCGTGTTGATTGCGTCCCGAGAAGGATACGCAACATATCAACCTGTCAGAATTAGACGCCGTTATCAGGGGAGTCACCGCGGCCCTTCAATGGAATGCAAAGGTATTGCATTTATTCACGGATTCCGCATGCGTGTATAAGTGGATAGCAGACACTCTTACGGGGAAGGCGAGAATACGTACAAAGGCTGCGAGCGAGATGCTCATTCGAAGGCGGCTCGACACACTGGGAAAGTTACAACAGAATACCACTTATCCGTAGATATACAAAATATCAGATCACAGCAGAACAAGGCCGATACTTTAACAAGGGTTCCCCAAAAAATGGCTTGACGCTATTAAGAAAGAGGTAGAGCCGGTAGGACATGTCTGTGTAACATCTGCGAGCAGTCAAAGAACTCAGATTTAATAAAATCTGTGCATTTCCAAAGCGGACATCCCGGTATAAAACGGACCCTATATTTCGTGAGGCAGATTTATCCTCCGTATCCAAAAAAAATTGTCAGGGCAGTGGTCAGAGGATGAAAGGAGTGTCAGTCCATCGACCCAGCACCTGTGCAATGGCAAAAAGGACAAGTGAGTGTGAGCAAGGTGTGGCACCGTGTTGGAATAGATATCACCCATTATAACGGACATCACTATTTAACCCTGATTGATTGTGACCCAACCCGGTTCACTATTTGGCGGCGTCTCCATCGACAGGATTCCGCAAGCGTTATTGACCACTTGAGGTCATTGTTCTTTGAACGTGGACCTCCGACGGAACTTCTCACTGACAACGACACTGCATTCCGCAGTAGACTATTCAAAGATTTTGTGGCTTCGTGGGGAGTACACCTCAGATTTCGCTGCGCGTATGTCCCATCAGGGAATGGCATAATCGAGCGATGTCATCGGAGCATCAAAAGAATCGCTGCTAGGAAGCAGTGTTCCATAATGGAGGCGGTGTATTGGTACAATGTTACTCCGAGAGACAATAATGTATCAACCTCAACTGCGCCAGCCAACATGATTTATCAGTACAAAGTCCGGCTACGAGGCATTGACGCAACGCGGTCAACTGAACGGATAAACGAACGTGCGCCGTATGACTTGGGCGATCGCGTGTGGGTGAAAGCTCCACATAGCCGGTGTATAACCCGGTATCGGGTGGGGCATGTCACTGGACTAAGTAACTCGCGTTCTGTGCTGGTTGATGGCATACCAAGACACATAAAGGACTTGCGTCGCTATGTAGGTACAGATACGTCAACAAGTGACACTAGCAGTGAGTGCTCAGAAAGTGAACAAATAATTACCATTGGAGGTAGGGCTAGCACCTTTTCAGATGGTGAAGACTGTGCGTGAGGTTGTCAGACCAGAAGAATCCTCAGAAGAAGAATCTTCAGAACATTCTTCAGATGACGAAGACTCTGCGCATGAGGTTGTCAGATCAGCAGAAACGTCAGAACATAAAACACGATCTCCTCCAACAGTCGCCCCGCTCCGGAGAAGCTTAAGAATAAAGAGGCCCGCCCATGAGTGTCACTTATGTGACAGGGGGGAGGGTAGTGAACGAGATAATAAGGTACCTCGGAAAAAAGTTCGTGTTTTGTGTGCGATCTGCCGAAGAAGGATTACCAAAAAGTAGTCAGCAAAAATCTTATAGCGAAGAAAACGGCGACTTACCTCGTCAACCCAAGCGACAGCGCGTCGCGTGTATTCTGTGAGGAAAAAAAGAAACAAGTCCGTCGCAGGAGTCGCTTATAAGAGTATTTTGATATGCAAATTACGGAGCATCCTAACCCAGCTGTCGACGAATGAAAAAAATAGGTTCTGCCGATAAAAGCAGTTGGTGTTTTCGATTCGGGGAAAGAAAATTAGGGCATTTTTGGCTACGGCGTTTGTTGGAGAGTGAGTTATTTTTCTGAACAAATTTGCTTTGAGAACGCTTACAGTTCAGTTTCCCTTCTTTAATTTATCATTAGGTACAGGCAAATCCCACATCTAAATCTTGTTCGAAAATATTTTTCATTAGAATTAATGGAGTCAGCCCTGTAAGCACCGGTTTCATTCAGGTAATTAGGATTTCCACGAAAAATGCGGTGGATGTAAAGTGGGTGATCACTGAATATTTCCGTTCTTTCTGGGCTTTACATTTACGTTTCCGTTATTTAATTTATTATTATGGACAGGCAAATCCCTCATCTAAAACTTGTTCGAAAATATTTTTCATTAGAATTCATGAAGTGAGCCTAGTAAGCACTTGTTTCATCCCAGGTAATTAGGATGTCCACGAAAAATGCGGTGGACGCAAAATGGGTGATCACTGTATATTTCCCTTCGTTCTGGGCTTTACATTTACGTTTCCCTTCTTTAATGTATCATTAGGGACAGGAAATTACCTCATCTAAAACTTGTTCGAAAATATTTTTCATTAGAATTCATGGAGTGACCCTAGAAAGCAATGGTTTCATCTCAGGTAATTAGGATTTCCACGAAAAATGCGCTGGACGCAAAGTGGGTGATCACTGTATATTTCCCTTCTCTCTCCGCTTTATATTTACGTTTCCCTTCTTTGAATAATAATTATGGACAGGCAAATCCCTCATCTAAAACATGTTCGAAAATATTTTCATTAGAATTCATGGAATAAGTGTAGTATGCACAGGATTCAACTCAGATAATTGGGATATCCACGAAAAATGCGGTGGACGCAAAGTGGGTGATCACTGTATATTTCCCTTCTTTTTTGGCTTTCTATTTACAGTTCCCTTCTTTCATTTATCTTTAGCGACAGGCAAATCCTTCATCAAAAACATGTTCGAAAATATTTTTCATTAGAATTCATGGAGTGACCCTAGAAAGCAATGGTTTCATCTCAGGTAATTAAGTTTCCACGAAAAAATGCGCTGGACGCAAGTTCAACCCTCATATTTACGTTTCCTTCTTTGATAATAATTATGGGATATCCACTCTAAAACATGTTCGAAAATATTTTCATTAGCGGTGGACGCAAAGATAATTGGGATATCCACTGGACGTAAATATTTCCCTTCATTTCCTTCTTTTTGTTTCTATTTACGTTTCCTTCTTTAATTTATCTTTAGCGACAGGCAAATCCTTCATCTAAAACATGTTCGAAAATATTTTTCATTAGAATTCATGGAGTGAGGGTAGTAAGTACAGGATTCAACTCAGATAATTGGGATATCCACTAAAAATGCGGTGGACGCAAAGTGGGTGATCACTGTATATTTCCCTTCTTTTTGCTGCAACCATAATCAATTAACATTACGTTAACAAACACGATTCAGTACGTAAAATGTTTATTTTAATACCTATACTTGACTGGTATAAAAAAACGGATAGTACAATTTTCAAATAAAAATATATTTAAACAAACTGGTATATGGGGAAAAATTAGGAAAAAAAAAATAAATAAAAGACTAAAACATCTTCGTCTGAAAAAATAGCCCAACATCGCGGTGCCTAGCGAAAAGCAAAAAAAAACAAAAAACAACAAAAAAAGAACAATGGAGTAAAATAATAAAAGACGTAAACAGAGCAGAGTACAAAAATCAGTGAGCCAGAAACTACCTACATATGTTTCACCTAAATGGATCTTCAGGGCGAACTGAGGCCAACTTGACACCAAGAACCTATGTCACGCAATTTCATATTTCAGACTTAACGTTAAACTTTCTCTTAGCATAATATCAATCTTCTAATAATTTCTCACTAAAGCAATATATATTATTTCAAAATATTATTTACGAAGCATTGCTTTGAATTTGTAATTATTTCTTTATTAATTTAATACATTTTTATTTTTTTTATTTTTTAAATAAATCCTTACTTTTTAATTTCTTTTCTGATGTTAGACCCTGTAAAAAGACATCCATATATACATCATAACAAGACACTTTGCATATTAAATTGAACATTGCTCCAAAAGGGACGTTGAAGATAACGGTATCAAAAAAAAAAAAAAAAAAAATGCAGCGAAATTGTCTTACGGAAAAAAAAAAAAAATCCTATACGGAGAATATTCCTGAGGCGCGTTTTCCTACGGCAAAATGTTTACGGCGAATATTCCGGATACGTCAGCAGACATATCATTTGTTGATGCTGGTGACATTTTACAAAAAGAAATACCCAAATCTGTAACCGTAAAGGAGTTTGCAATTCAAGAGTCAAATCTGGAACATTAATGATACTAACACAATAGATTACTGGCTTCGTATTGGGCCCTCATCATGTCAGAAACCTGAAAGCAACCATTCCAACTCACACAGAATGTATAAAACAGCTGGAGTAGAGAATATGAAGGCAAAGTATTTATCAAACAATGTGCTCAAACGTGAATTACGAAATGGCGCGTGTGTAAAATGTGTATGGCTAATCTATTCACCATTAAAAGGTAAAAGGTGTCCAAGAAAAAATCTTCCTTTGTTACATCGGGGTTCAATGACTGGAATCATATCAATGTTTCAGAACATAAAAATAGGGAAGAACATCGAAAGTGCATGGCAGTATAGTTGATAAAGCATAAGGAAATTGGAAGTGTAGATTCTTCATTCCTTGAGTAACATCGCTCAGAGCAGGAATATTGTCATAAACTGTTGACACCTGTAGTTTTTGTAATTCGCTTTTTTGCTTCCAGTGGTTTGCCATTTTGTGGAGAATATCAGATTATTTGGTCAGCAAAAAATGGCAACTATTTAGGTATACTAGACCTGCTTAATGAATTTGACATTTCGTGGAAGAACATCTCAAAATATATGGAAATCCTGGAAAAGGGAATCCGTCATATTTATCTGTAAATATTTGTGAGGAATTAATTGAATTAATGGGACAACAGGTTCTTTGTACTATTCTTGAAAAAGTAAAACAGTTAAAGTTTAATTCAATGTGCAGATTCCACTTCAGACATCTCACACACAAATCAACTGTCCGATACATTAAAAGCTGTAATCCTGTGGAACGTTTATTGATGTTCATCCCCATCTTTTTTTTTCATGGAGCAAATGATCTAACAGACAATGTTGTAGATTTTCTAAATGAGAAAAACAAATCCCGCTATCATACTGCGGTGTTCAGTCATACGATAATGCCACAAATATAGATACAGTATATACAGTATATAGATATACTGGATTGCATCACCTCAGTGAGTTTGCCATCTATGTCCCCTGTGCTGGACACAGCAAGAACTCGGTAAGACTAAAAGCAGCAGAATATTGTCTACAGACTGTAAAATTCTTTGATTTTGTTCAGCATCTGTATTCATTTTTTGCTGGTTCTTCTCATCGCTGCAATGTATTGACATCAACTCTAGGAAAAGATTTTGTGGCCAAGCGTCTGCCTGACGCACGATGATCAGCACATTTTGATGCTGTTCATACTCTGTATGGGGGGTTCGAAAAAATAAAACATGCACTAGATTCTCTGCCAGCTGACAATGAAGAGCAAGTGAATACAAGGCGAGAAACAGAACGATTGAGCAAAAAATAGAAAACCTGGACACGCTCTTTCTCCCAATTCTTTGGAATGACATGCTAAAAAGAATGAACACAACAAGCAAGGTCCTGCAATCAAAGGATGTTTACATACTTGTTGCCACGAATCTTCTTGAGTTTATGTAAACCTATCTGCAGGAAACTAGAGACAAATTTAGTGAATATGAATTCAAAGCCAGGAGTATGTGTCCAGATAGAGATTACAGTGATAGGAGAAAACGGAAACAAAAACGAAGTGTGCATCTTGTGGGGATAAAATAAAAATACAAAATAAAATAAAAGTACAAAACTAAATAAAAATACAAAATAAAATAAAAGTACAAAATTAAAAAAAATACAAAATAAAATAAAAGTACAAAATAAAATAAACATAAAAATCTCCCAGGAGTCCTCTGACAGGAAAGACAATTTACGCATGTGCAAAAAGAGAGATTTCCTGGCACCAAAAATAAGCTAGAAGAATCTATCTCTTTCTCTGTTGGACCTTTGACTGGTGAACACGTGCCAACTGTTCGGGAAGGAAATTCCCCAACAAGAGGTCGTTGGAATCCAAAAGAAGGAAATAAAATCAATGTCCTAAACTGTCCCTCTAGTGTCTCCGTATCCTTCTTTTCTTTGTCTATTTATTTCAGCGACGAAGGCAATTCAACAAGTTTTGGATGTTTAGGTGAAAGAATCAACCCCACACTAATAGCCATAACATCCATAGTCTTAATTGGTATGATAGATCAGTAGAAAAGGTACTCCTCAGTAAGAGAGAAAACTTCCAGGTGGAATCTTTCCTCCCTATTCTGGACACGCTAATCTTTGTATTGACAAAATGTGCAGGGTCTTATTTACAGATTGGAAATCTGCTTTATTTCTTCAGTGAATTGAAAAATCATTGCTTCTGATGCACTAACGAAAAAGTGTGAACACATTAAGTTATCTTTCCTTGTTCCTGCTACTAGTGGAATTCTATTATCTACTTTTGATAGTACAAACATATAATTTGGCGCGTAATTATAAACGCTAAGATGGGCGCAACCCAAGATCTCGAATGAGATAGATGACTTTTAGCTGACTCCGGGAAACGGTACCCAAAACAGTAACGATCGTGAAGGTCCGGTTCTCAAGAGAAGGTATGCTTGGACATTCCAGATGGCTCCAAGACAAGCAACCTTTGTTTGAATGACAGATAGGTATATCAAACTAATTCTAACTGAGCTGTTTGCAGATGCCCAGGTGGTATTGTCCTGGTTATTGCAAGAAAAAAAAATATTTGCGAGAAACAGTTAAAGATATAAACAATATGAAAACTCAAATTGAATCAAAATTGAATATTACAATTAACTACCGATATGTACATACAAGAGAATAACCTTTGCAAACTTTGTGAAATTATTTAGATTTTGGTCCCTTGGTTCACAGTGAGTTACCGAAGATGATGAAGATTGGCCTCTATTCAGACTAGAATGTCTGTCTGACGAATCAAAAAATATAGTCTCGTCGTTTGTGACGCAGTTGTCTCAGAGCTTCGCGTCGTCGTCAAACAATGACAAGAGGTCTGTCGTCGGCTGCCAGCAGCGTGTGTCTACAAAAGTCTTCTATAATAATTTGAAACTCTCAGAGAAACCTGCAGTACCATTTACTAGATTTTCTAATTGGAAGAAACTGATAAAAGTAACATCATTGGAGTTAAATTTAATTCAGAAATGAAGAAAAAGGAATCAAGTTGATCACCTGCATCAAATCCGCCTTTGATGTATGTTGTATATAAAATATCTTTTAAACTGTTCAATTGTCTCTTCTTTGTCATCTGCCCGACTTGAGGTAGAAGTCATTAAGAATCATATAAACTGGCTAATATGTATCACAAAGACATGAATTATGATGACCTTTTAAATGAATGTGATCATCTCAAGCACTACATAGCTCTTGATGAAAATTGTGAGACTCTCCCTGCAATATACCGAAAAATAATTTCGGATAATTTAAAATCTGTATTCCTGAATATGAAATTGTACTCAGAGAGTTTGTCGGAGTTAGCTTCTTAACTCCGAAATTGTCACTAGGGGTCACTTTCTCTATGCTATAAATACTTTTTCTCTCTTTTTCCTTCAGGCCTCGTACCACATCCAACCTCGCGTGGAGGTGAGGTAAATTCTCTTTTTCATTTCTTCATTTCAGCGACTACAACGTAAGCTCTCTTAGGAGATAATATTTCCCACTTGTGGGGAGACGCCAAGAACATTATACACACATACACGTACGTACGAACATTCACCAAAAGACAAACACAAACGTACACACACACACACACACACACACACACACACACACACACACGTATTATTGTCTATGTCCATTGTAAAATTGTTTTGTTTAATACATATATATCGGTCTTGTTTGTCATCTTTATCTTCAGTTGGACTTAATTCAAGTCCGGCATTTTTCTTGTAGCCAGACTTTCTAGCAGGAAATATAAACGTACGTGTTTTCTTTTCATCTTCACTTCCCCACTCCCCCGGTCGTCTACATGTCCATGTCCATGATGTTGATCAATTGTACGGGCGGACGTTTTTTTTCAAGAGTGAAACTTATAAAAAAAAACCTACTTTGTAGCACAATGAGGCGGCATCATTTGAACTGGCTTTTACTTATGTGCCAGGAAAATGACATTTTATTCCTGAAGACCATTGATTTCAAGCTAATAATAAACAATTCTCTGAAAAGGAATGTCGTAAATACTTGATTTATTAAGTTCGTAGTAATTACATATCGTGTCATTTAATCTGTGTGGTTTACTGAGTATTATTGTGTTTTTCAAGCCTTGTGTATTGTTCAAATATTTATCATGTTGATTAGTTAGTAGCGAACCGTGGGTTTGTACGTATTGTAATATGAACACGTGTGAAACTCCTGGAATTAAGTCCACTAGAAAAAATATGGCTAACTCAAGGTGAGTCCACCCAAAAGGAATGTAAAATGAAGCAACAAGAACCGATATATATATGTACAAACAGGTATATGTATTATACAACAAAAGAATTTACAATGGACAAAGACATTAACGAGTTTATGTGGAAATTCCGTGTTTCAATGAATGTTCGTACGTAAGTGTGTGTGTGTGCATGCGTGCGTGTATGTGTGTATAATTTTCATAGCGTCTCCTACTAGAACATTTAAATAATGAAAATATTTTCAAACTGCTTCAGAACAGTTTACTTGTCCGGGAAGATGAACACAATTATGTTGTGGGGTAGTTAATGGTGTTGGTTAGAAAAGAATCAGAAGGGTTTTTGATCAAGGTTGCGTTTTTACATTAACACTCCACTTTAAATTTGTAAAGAAAACACAAAAATGAATGACGAGAGATCAATGAAAATCAACAAGTAAACATGTATTAAAACAAGCATATACATATAATTCTGTTAATAACAATAAAGATTAAGTCACACGAAGTGGTTTCCATTGTATTGTGTGAAGAACAAATGTACGTTGTAATAATGTCTTTTGTTTAAATTTGTTGGTAGTTTAAGAATGTTTGATGTTTGAGTTTGAAAGTTGAAATATTTGTGCAGAAGGATGATATAGTTCGAATAATTGACTTGGCTTGTAAACAGACAGTACACTGTGTTGTGTGTGTGTGTAGTTTATATCTCTGTGTGTTTGTGAGTAGAAAATTGAATATACACGTACGTGGTTGAGGTTGTGAAAATTTATAATCTAGTGAAGTTTTTTCCTTAATTTCTACTTTTTTTTTTTTATAGATATAAGGTGGCTCCAGGGACGAGCGCGGGAAGGATATTGAAGAAAGTGTCATTTGATGTGATTGGCCAAAAATCGACCAATCGTTGATTTTTTCTAAATAATAGTTTGGTGAGGCAAAAACACGAGAAATTTTATTTGCTCGTGCGATGCGTAAATTGTCTGTACAAAAGGTATTGTTTATTTTCCGTCCAATTACTGTTGAGTTATTTGTGGGCGTGGTGTACGTAGGCGTCCACTACAGTGTCACATCACCAGCGCGCTCCATACAACTGTGTCTTAGCGCCTTTGACCGCTGAATGAACAGTATCAAATTACGATTCTTAACTTGACGATAATGCCTTTAACGCCACACGGCTGCTGATATTCCTTTATAACTCGCTGAGACTTTAAAACACGAACGATTAATTTTCGTTATCAGATATTCCCAAAAGTGTTGTAAAAAGAATAGGAAATAAAAAACTTATTTTTTTGTAACACTCATATTAATCGTTATTCTATTAACATTAGTACCACTACATTAGCAATATTAAATTTAATCTATTAAGTTGGAATTAAAACTAAAATTAAAGCTTCAAGACAGATTTTACAATTTTTAAAATGCATTTTAATCTTTCGATATCGTTTTTTGTTTCGGTAACAACAGTTTAGTAGTATTTTATCTAAGGGAGATAAATATGGAAAGTAAGTTATGAGTTATTTCCCTTGGAAAATTTCGCCAAAATATCAGTTACATAATGAACAAGTTTTTTAATTAAAAATACTTTATTAATGTACTTATTTTTATTATTTTATTTTGACTAAAAAAAAAAAACTTTAATGTATTTTGAAATTTCTCAAGCATTTCTCGAATCTTTCCGCATACATTTCTTATAAACCGTTGAACAAAATTCTTCTATGGCATAAATAAATTTAATGAAAAATAACGAATATATTTCTGTTAATTTCTGGAGAACATTATATTTATATATTCTTGAAGATAATGAAAGAAAGTGGAGAGAGCGTCTACTTTCTTTGATTTTCTCAGGTTAAGATGAAAGAAAGACAAAACTGTATGTATGGAAAGAATTTTTTTGTTTTCTGAAGATGAGTGGGAGCAGCAAATCAAATTAAATTAGACTGCCTTACCACCTCCAATGTCCAGATTCAAAAAAGTGTTTTCACACTTGTTTGTTTGTTTTATCTATATTAGAATTGTCTGGTGTTTATTTATGCTCCACACTTATCCTCCGAGATCTCAAGGTATTTTTTCAGACTGTTCATATCTATCTATCTATCTATCTATCTATCTATCTATCTATCTATCTATCTATCTAGGTATTTTTTTCTCATATACAGTTCTGTCTTTCTGTCATTCTAACCTGAAGAAACCCAAGAGGGCAGACACTCTTGGAGAAATGCATTGCTAATAATTTTCCGCTTTCTCACATCATCTTCACTTTTATTTTGGATGCTATTATACATTCTCGAAACCCAAATTTATATATTTGTATAAATAAATGCATTTCTTTCACCTTCAAGGTAGAAAATGAAAGCGAGATGAAAGGACAAACCATAAATTGTAAGAAAACAATGTATGGTTGTCAGCAAGAGAACAAACCCCAAATACAAGCTATGCGATGAAGATACCATTTGCCCGAGGTACGATATTTTTTTAAAATATTAACTGGCTAGATAATTACCAGACAGACAATATATACCGGAGGAAAGTCAAAGTATATAGCAAAGAAAAACTACTTCAAATATTACTGATGAAATTATTAGTACTATAAATCAGGTCAGAAAGAAAATTGAGTGATGAGATTCGAACATAGACTTTGAGGGCTGAAATAAAATGTCTTTCTTTTTGTTTAGATCACAGCACCAAGCCCTCTTGATATGTTTTAAAGTTTTTCAGTGGCTAAGGGGCTAAATAAACAGTAAATAAAAAAAAAATAAAAAACCTTAGTCTGCGACCAGTCGACATATTGTTCTGGATTGATTTTATATATCAATTAGACAAAAAATCATGACCAGATATTACATATTTGGCTAGAAATATACGACTGTTTTTCCCCCCATTATTACAAACTGTTTATCCTAATTGGTTCTCACAGATTCAGTTAAGTACGTTTTTAATATCTATCTATCTATCTATCTATCTATCTATCTATCTATCTATCTATCTATCTATCTATCTATCTATCTATCTATCTATCTAAGTGTTCATATCTATCTATCTATCTATCTATCTATCTATCTCTATATATCTATCTAAGTGTTCATATCTATCTATCTATCTATCTATCTATCTATCTATCTATCTCTATATCTCAGACTGTTCATACCTATCTATCTTTATTTATCTCAGGCTGTTCATCACTCTCTCTCTCTTTCTCTATCAATCTCTTTCCATCTACAGGTCTTTGTATTTGCTTAGTTTTTCAAAAACTTTCATACAGATAGTTTATCACTTGGTCATTATTATTATTATTATTTTCTTTGATTTCTGGCATTTACACTTTTCTTTCCGGGTCCCGCCCAGGGACCTAAGGTTAGAAATGGCATCATGACACTTTCCACTGACAGAAAAAAAATACATAGATAAAGCCCTTCGTAAAGTGTGGGCTGTACTTGTCAGAACAATTTTTTGTATCTTCTTGAGGCATGGACTTCCAGGAATCCCTTCAATTAGTCTACTGCAGTCTTTTTCAACCAGTCCTAGGGCTCCAACTACAACAGGGATTGTTGATGTTCCCATATGACACATTTTCGAGATTTTTATTTCAAGGTCCTTGTATTTTGACAGCTTCAAAGATACATTGCCATATCAATAAGGAGGCACTGTTTTGTTTGTGGTCTTTAATAACAATATCTGGGCGGTTGGCTTTGATTGTTCTGTCAGTGTGTCCCATAGAATTGTAACAGGTCCTATCTTCGTAACCGGGTCTGGGTCGTGTTCATACCATTTTCTTTCAGTTTCCTTCCTGTAGAAGTTGCAGATTTTCCAGTGCAGATATTGGCACACTCTGTCATGCCGGGTTTTATATTCAGTGGGTGCCAATATCGTGCAACCTGATACAAGATGATCAATTGTTTCTGGATATTTATCACATAATCTGCATTTTGGGCTGACACAATATTTTAGTATATGTGCTTGATAATTCCTAGTTAGCAAGCATTGGTCCTGTGCAGCAAGGATAAAAACTTCAGTTTCAGCTTTCAACCCTGCACTAATTAGCCACTGATGGGTACGGGTTTTGTCTACGTCAGCTTGTTTGGTACGGGCAGAGTATTGGCCATGAAGCGGTTTATCTTGCCATCGCTTCTGTATCTGGTCGGTTGCATTTGTCTTTGCTGTTTTTTTTTTGTATTTTGCAGTTTCAGCCGGTGTATTGTGCTGTAGTTGCATCTCTACGCCCATTTGAAACTCCATTTTGAATTTGTTGGCTTCTTTTTATTACGGATTAAAGACGATTACTATTTTCATGTTCCTTGACGCATACCATCATCCAATCTTCTGTAGTTTCCAAATATCTTTGGAGGCCAATTGTTTGTAGTTTTGTAGGACAGTTCTAGTTGAACTAATCCTCTGCCTCCTTCGGATCTGGGCAGATACAGACGATCAACATCAGCTTTGGGATGATGCATACGGTAGCAAGTGAAAGCTTTCGTTTTGGCGTCCATTCGCTTAATTTCAGCTATGGTCCAGTTAAGGACATTAAAAAGTGTATTGCACCACAGGGACAGCCAATGTGTTTATGGCTGATATTCTGTTTTTTGAGTTTTAGCTCAGTATTTAGTACCAGACGTACACGCCTGTACTACTTTTTTTATTTTTTTTTCTTCATTTGGGGGTGTTGTATGCCATCTCCTTCGCTAATTCCTAGGTACTTATAAGCTTCATCATGCTTTTTCCCTAATCTTTTTTGACAAAATCTAAATCTATTAAGGGTGTTTCTGTAATTCTACCTTTCTTGAATGTTACTTTTGCACATTTATCTAATCCCGAAGTCCATACCTATGTCGTCACTGAATATTATTATTATCATCGTTGTTATTATTATTATTATTTGTGTATATCAGTGTTGCCTGCTTTGTATCCTGTAGAGTCGGGTCCAAACTATGGTCCTTAGGCACTATAGGAGAACTGTCATTTAATTGATAGCACTTTTCTTAGTATATGGGATGTTCCTAGTTGGGCGATCTGTATATTGATGTTACCTGGGACACTGTAAGTAAAACTGTCCATTATTTTTATCAAAAGGCCGAGAGCTCCAATTAATTGATACAGTCTCATTTTTCATTCCCCACACTCTGTTAATCTCGATCTCCAGGTCCTTGTATTTGAACCATATCTCGATAATTTTCATGGAGGTATTACTCTCAGATGGTACTGATATGTCAATAAGCATACACTTCATGAATTTATTGTCTTTTATGATAATATCAGGTTTGTTAGCATTTATTTCGCTGTCACTTTGAATTGGCACGTCCCAGAGGATAGTTATTTTGGGTCACTATGTCTGGTTGGTGTTAATAACATTTCTCAGTGGTTTCGATTTTGTGCTTCTTGCATATCTTCCAGTGCACATATGTCGCTACCTTGTTATGTCTGTGGGTATATTCAATTTTTGGCAGTTCCCCACATCCTGAGATAATATAGTCGACAGTTTCATGATATTTTCAGCAGATCCTGCATTTTGAGTTAGTTTCATTCTTGATTATTTGACATGTGATAGGATTTGGTTGCAAGGCTTTGGTCCTGAGCTGCAATAATTAGGCCTTCTGTCTCAGCTTTCAACCTGATGCTTCGAAGTCACTGATGTGTTTTCTGTCTGTTTACATCTGCTTCTTTTGTTCTTTTTAGGTATTTGCCATGCAACGCCTTCTCCTCTCAGTTGTTTTGTAATTTCATTTGGACAAGTTTTTTTGCTTTCTGCTTTACTTGTTTGATGTAAATGATATTCACTCCATTTTTTGTTGGTAGAGTTTCAGGTATATTAAACTCTTCTTTGTGCCCTCTCATTGCAGAAGAGAGAGAGGGATCGGTTTTTGCATTAAAAAGATAACAAAATATTGACAGTTGCATAAAATTGGGCAATTTTTTTTCCTAGCCCGGGTCTATATACACTTAAAATCCCATACATTAAACCGAACTTGTGTTACAAACTGACCTCGTTTTGAGTAAATACAAATATTAGTCATAAATAAATTCCGTTTTTGTTCATCAACTTTATTCGTCAAAATATAACGTACAATTATATTTTATTTAATTCTATATTCACTTTTAATTGTAATGGTTCCTTGCCACTTATCAGGAAGCTCTTCTGCAGGTATTGATATAAAAAGTTTTTGATCAGCTCTTGAATCTGGTTTTTGATAGAACTTTCTCTATAAAAGCATTTTGCAGTCATCGAAAAGGCAATCATCGGCTTGGGCAAGATCAGGTAAATAGAGTGCGTGGGGTTGAACAAACTAACCGAGTTCCAAATCTTTTTCCTATGTTATCCTTGCTTTATGCCACCTCACATTGTCATGGAAAAATTTTCCTTGAATCCCATGTCAATGATATCATTGCCGTGCAAATACTATGATATGTTAGTATACTGAAATCCGAAGGCGCATTGGGATAGCCAAAGATGCTTTCCAAAAGCTAAACAGAGTACTAAGAAACAGAAAAAAAACTTCGTTAGAAAAAAAAGAGTACTAAAGTGTTGTTTTTGATATCTGTCTTCCTATATGGCAGTGAATGCTAGACAATCTTCCCAAAGATGAAGAAAAAACTTTAAGCGACAGGAATGTGGTTCTACAGAAAGATGCTGAGAATACCATGAAGGGAATATGTCAGCGACAACGAATTTTTAGAGAAATTGGAAAGAAAATGAAAATTATATTTAACATCAGGAAGTGACACATAAAATTTGTAGGATACACAATGAGGAAAGAAAACTTGGAAAATCTGATACCCACCGGTATTGACTAAATGGTTTGGTTTGTTATACGGCATATCAACCTTAATGGGTTATTTAATGCCGACAAGATTTTTATCGCTGGTATTATATTTTTTTCAAAATGTATTGCTGATTATAATTTTTTACAAAATATTTCTGGTATTAAAACCTATTTTTACACTTTCATAATGTTTTGACCCACGATTGAGGGTTAACTATTTACCCATAGCTGGGACCCTAACAAATGCTAATACCATGGGTCAGGGTGGACCTGGGAACATCAGCAATAAAGAGGTGGATCCACGCTCCTCAAAACCTCCAGATCAGAGGCCTTGCTGTTGGACGTAGTTTAACGTCTTACCCAGGACGCGGATGTAGTTTATCATCATACCCAGGACGCGGATGCAGTTTATCATCATACCCAGGACGCGGACAGTTTATCGTCTTACCCAGGACGCGGACGTAGTTTATCGTCTTACCAAGGACGCGGATGTAGTTTATCGTCATACCCAGGACGGTTGACTAAATGGACGGCGGATCAGTGTTTATGTGAAAGACAAAATTCATTAAGAGCTACAACGGACAGGAAATTGTGGAGGGCCCTGATAGCTTACGCCCTGAGTGGATACGGCATATAAAGAAGATAGAATTGATCTTTAGGATGATCCATTAGTCATTATAATTAGTTCCTCAAAATGGAAATGATTTATGGCGCAAATTAACATATATATTAGTATAGTTATTGTGTTTTTTGAATTGAAGATAGATAAAGATTGCCATGGGTCGGAAGAATGTTAATGAACTTAAAGGAGAGACAAGATATTACGAAGTGATTAAGTGCTCGGAACGCAACGAATTGTTGAACAGACATCACAATCGAAAAGGTTTTGGAAAGCATTGCTAAGATCAGAACGATAAAAAAGAAACTGGATTAAGGATGTCTGAAAATGTGTTTTGATGAACATTAAAAGAGAAATAGGAACCACAAGGGGAATGCACAGGAAGAAAATATTTGAAAAATCTGGTGCCGTGAATGTAAGCAGTGAGGAAAGAAGCAGAATATTATGAACATTAAATGCAGGAAAAAAAAAAGCAAATTAGCATTTGAAGTATACATCACAAAGAAAATCTATCTATCTATCTATCTATCTATCTATCTATCTATCTATCTATCTATCTATCTATCTATTACAGTCTGTAAAAATCTATCTATCTATCTATCTATTACAGTCTGTAAAAATCTATCTATCTATCTATCTATCTATCTATCTATCACAGTCTGTAAAATCTATCTATCTATCACAGTCTGTAAAAATCTATCTATCTCTCTACTATCTATCTATCTATCTATCTATCTATCTATCTTCATTATCTCTTTATATATATCTATCACTGTTAAAATTTATCTATCTATCTATCTATCTATCTTCATTATCTCTTTATATATATATCTATCACTGTTAAAATTTATCTATCTATCTATCTATCTATCTATCTATCTATCTTCATTATCTCTTTAAATATATCTATCACTGTTAAAATTTATCTATCTATCTATCTATCTATCTATCTATCTATCTATCTATCTATCTTCATTATCTCTTTATATATATCTATCACTGTTAAAATTTATCTATCACAGTCTATTAAAATCTATCTATCTATCTATCTATCACAGTCTGTAAAAATCTATCTTCATTATCTCTTTATATATATAGCTATCTATCACTGTTAAAATCTATAACAGTCTGTCAATATCTATCTATCTATCTATCTATCTATCTATCTATCACAGTCTGTTAAAATCTATCTGTCGATCTATCTATCACGTTCTGATATACATTCCTTCTATTTCCATTTCCATATACGTATAAAATACATTTGCATACTGATTGTTTAAGTATAAATGTTTTGCATATATATATATATATATATATATATATATATATATATATATATATATATATGTGTGTGCGTGTGTGCTGAGCTAACATACTGAGAAAGAGAGAGAACTGATTGACTTCTTTGCTCCTTTTTCTGCACAGTCCGTTCACTTGCCACATTTTCATAGTCTGTTAAATGCTTTCAATTTGCTTCTGTCTAAGCTTAACCCTGACTATTTAACACGTTTATTTTCCTCGGAAGGAAAATGGCAAAAAGTCGTTGATGAAACCAAACCGAGACATTCCCATTAAGTTGCTTTAAAACCAACTTGGAAAATGTAATTTCGATTTTCAGCCCTCATTCTAGTTCAAGAGGCTCAAACAAGCCCATTCATCTGGCAGTGGCCGGAGAAATGGCCTGTGGCTAATAGAGACGTTGTTGAGTCGCTGCCTAATTTGATCTCGCTCGAGGATGGCGCCATTTAGGTTGGTAACTTTCTTCGTTCCAACAATGGAAGCCAAATTTGAATGAAACGCCGGGAACACCTTTGCTCAGACGCTTGTCAGATCTATATTTACTATATCTACTAAAGTTAACCAAGTCTGGCACAAGACCATAAAACAGTGAGGATCAAATTTGCTACATTATCAATGGTTATTATTAAACGACAGTCTTTGGCAGGTATTCTGTGTATTTACTAAGCTTAGCACAGGTCTTCACTAGGAGGGCACCCAGTGAGTATTTATATCAGCAAAATCTTAGCTAACCCTAAACCTGACAGTAAAGAATATTAGACATTAAGATGTGAATATAAACAGCCTCGAGCGAAATTCGAACTCAGTTCGCTGAATCTATTTTCTTATTATTGCGATGATATAAAGAGGATTCTGACAAATATTGGGTTCAGTAAAATGAATTTTGAATTGAGCTGGAACATAGCTGCTTAGATACCTCGCTAAATTGACTAAATTGACTAAATTGACTAAATTGACTAAATTGACAGTAACGAACAATGGACGAAATACTGAATAATTTCAATGAACCCACCCTGCCACGCGCTGTAAACCAACGTCATTGCTTTCGCTATCCATCCATGAGACGTAGGTTTCACTCGAGCAGCTCCTTACTACGAGACGCTCCTCTGTGGAATCGACTTCCAAGAGTAAGCTTCTCTGATCACTACAATCTTAAGCTGGTCATGTCTAGGATTAACCATTATCTTCCCCCATTTACGTATAAGTCATTAATTTTACTTGTGACCCCTTCATTTTGGGCCCTTTAGTTATGCCATTTATATATATATATATATATATATATATATCATATATATATTTCTTTCAATTAAAGCCAATTATAATTTATAAATCATAATTGTATATATATATATATATATATATATATATTGTTTTAAATTTAAATTCAAACTCAGCGTTGCGACCGCTTCAGTAAAATAACACATTTCTCATATTATTTTAAAAAATAAAAAAAAAACAAGAACAAAATTAATAATAGAAAATGTCTTTTTTTGTAGACAAAAATGCATGTAATTTAAAAAGACCTTATGCAAAAATTTATGAACAGGGATCATATCATTCATATATAGGTTTTTTATCTTAATTTGTTTGCGAAAATGTATTCTCGCATTTAAATCAAAACCTCTATTTTGTTTTTTTGTATTTGATTCATGAATTTATAAATTTTATATATATATATATATATATATATATATATATATATATATATATATATATATATACTTGGGTTGCAATGGATAAATAGTTGTTTAAATTACAAAAAATGAAATAACAATCTCATTTAACAAGCATATTTTACAAAAGTAACAAAAATATCTTGAAACACTAAAGATGTATCTAAAATCGTATTGTTTCAACCACGGACTTTGACGAAAATCTCCTGCAACTCTGCTGGACGGTCTCCTGGTTTAAAGAATGCTTTCATAATCCTTGTCATCTTTATGATGGATTTTTTTATTCTCTCATCTCATCCCCATAATAATAATCAAAACCTTGGTTTGGGGGTTTATGTAAAGGGATTATTTATATTGTTTGACCTCCATCACTGGGTTTGCCTTGATTGCGAGACATGATGCAGAGTCCTATTGCCGGAGAAAGTGTCTTTCGACAGCCATCCTCTTGACTCAGAGAAGCACTATCTCCTCAAGTTACTTGATGTAGGCCTCCTTGTTGAGTATTGTGCCTTGTAGGAAGATGAATGAAGGCATAACGTCGTCATCACTAGTGACCACACCAAACACATTCGTAATCAACATTAGACTCATCCAACTTATTCCAAATTCTCTGCACTGTCCTCAGATTGATACCCAAACACTTTGAAATGTTCATTTTGAAGCTTCCGGTGCGAATACCAAGCGGTACATCATGTCGTTTCCAAATCTGAGGTGGAGTGAATTGCGTCATGGTGCACTTTTTCCTCACAGACGATGCCCAACTAACCCTACGATTCTGTGCTGTCGACAAAACCCTGTTAAACTAAACCCGAAAATAGTGCTTGTGAACACACTATATAGGGCTTTGCTTAACCGGAAGTCCTATGTGGCCGAGCTGGTTAAGCACGTCAGATCTAATGACAGTTCCCCATAGATCCCCTTCGAATCCTGTCGGAGGACGCATATTTTATGATAAGACTTCTCAAATATTCATGCTGAGAAATGTAATTAAACAAAAATACTGTTTAATTCAATAAACAGAGTATTTACTCGAATATGAGTATCCATCTACTAAAAGAAAGTTTAAGCAAAACAACTTACAATATGTCAGATTTAATCCATTTCATAATCTATCTATCTATCTATCATGGTAATTTATCCACGTACGCATGGGATCTCCCAGCTTTAAATAGGAGCAGGTACTGCCTTTTGGAGAGGGAAGTTTCCAGCAGTCAGCTCTGACAGTCAAACCGAACATTCTTGCTGCAACACTCTCGTTTGTATATGTTTGTATTACTGTTTCTGTTAATATATTTGTTTAACTCAACTCCTCTTTTTATTTCTGGCCCTAACAAGGCCACAACAATATGTGTGTGTGTATATATGTGTTTGTGTTTGTGTGTGTGTGTGTGTGTGTGTGTGTGTAAAAACGATATATAATTTTTATATATCAAAGCCAATTTTAGAGGAAGTGTGTCAAAGTGGAAAAAAGTTTTCGTGTGATGCATTTCGTTCTTTAGGACTTCATGTAATTAAACTTATTTTTACATTGATGTGATTACACATACGAACGAAGGAGAAGGACTTGTGGGAATTTTAAATTAAAATTAATTTTTATTTTTAAAAATCATTTTTTTTTGTATATAGTCTAACCGATTTTATTTAGTTTCTTCTTCTTTTTTGTTCAGGTTTCCATCACTTTTGGTATTAAATATTCCATATTGTGATGGTAGACGATCTACTAAAAGAAAGGTGAAATGTTGGACGTAAATTTACTGTGGATGATCTAGACATTAAAGCACTTTCTATACATTTCCTCTTTATTAAATTTGTTTTCTTTTTTTTGAATACAGTAGCATTTAAAAAAATTAATGAAATTGGTTAGACTATATGCTCAAACACACACACATACAAACACACACACACACATATATATATATATATATATAATTACTTTTTTTATAAAAAAATTATAACATAAGTATGTTATAAAATCACTACAAAAATAGCCATTTTGTTTCAACACACTCTGTGTCTTATCAAGTGATGATGTTGAAAAAGAAAACGTTTTCTTTTCAACATCATCACTTGATAAAACACAGAGTGTGTTAAAACAAAATGGCTATTTTTGTAGTGATTTTATAACATACTTATGTTATAATTTTTTTATAAAAAAGTAATTATATCTGCTCTACTTTGTATTGAGCACTCTTTTAAGAATAGTAATTGTTGGTTATAGGAATTCATTCCGTATATACCAATTATATACTTGGGTATATATATATATATATATATATATATATATGAAGAAAAATTTGGAAAAAAACAAACCAAAAATCCTCAAATGCAATGTTGTTTAAAATGAATGAAATGTCGACATCTGACGTTTAGGTTTAATAAACCTTCTTCAAGACAATATTCATTAAAATACAATTCAGTTCAATTTGACAAAGACGATGGACATAAAAACAAGTCTTATCCAAAAAATATATATATATGTATAAATTTAAAATTCCCAGCATGCCCTTTCCTTTGTGCGCGCATGGCTAATCATACCAGTGTAAACATCATTTATTCGGATGAAACGCGTCAAACGAAAACGCTTTCCAATTTGCATAGATTTTCTTCAATATATAAGAATATATATTTTAAATGCTATACACATTCAGGACATAGGCGATTATGACTCTCCATAGATTTGTTTTTCGTTATTGTCTGTGAATTGTCATGACGTTGCTGGGAAAGAAAATGGAGTGGTTTTCTTGTTGCCTTCTTCACGGGATTATAGAATACAAAGATTTTTTTAAACTCTTAAACCATTTAACCTGTTATTTAACCCATAGCTGGAAGAAGAAGACGAAGATGAAGAAGAAAATAAAAAAGGAGAAGAAGAAGATGATGAAGATGAAGAAAAAGATTATTAAAAAGATGAAGAAGATGATGAAGAAA